GTCACATGAGACTGCTCAGCACCTTTGCGGCCTGGGTAAGCTGGAAGAGGGTGGTGGCTGAGCCGTTGGAGCTCCCCAACCTGTTGTCGGCGAAGCCAGCCGTGGATTACTACCGGCATTTAGAGTTTGCGAACTGTCGAGTGAACTGCGTATCTAAAAACTGTCCATTTTTATCGGTATGAGGCGTCGATACAATATGATTGAGGCTCCAGCTAGCAATTAAGCCTCCCGGTCGGAGCTGAGCAAAATAGCTGGACAACGGAGCTGACGTCGGACTTCTCAAAGTTTGTTCTCCATCCTTGTGAGTTCATCGAGACACGATGGCCGCCGTACCTTTGGTGCGCTCGGCATACCTGGCCAACGACGTGTAAGCCTGACATCGCCGATGAAATTGTCATTGACGGCTCTGCACAGCTTCATGTCCGCCGGACGAAACGTGGTTATCTGCGCAGCTCGCGACCAGGCTCTGGTCAAGTTGACCTTGCCAGAATCACTGCCGTCGTTTTTCCCCTGTTTGGCATCATGCTCCTTACGAGCACTGGCATTTGCTTTCTTTTAACAAATGATATAGTACAATATACAGCTTTGCTACATAGGGTTTCCCGCCTTCTGTCTCGGCTCTACATTCTGCCCTTGTTGCTGACCGGCTTCACATTCAAGTTGGCACGGGTCGCCGTGCCGAGCTTGTGCAGCCCAAGACGCTTCTCCCACACGGACGACCGTCCCTCGACGACGGCAATGATCTCCTCTGCCAGCCTGTGCGCGAACTGGGTTCGGCCGGATCCCTTGGACGGCTTCTTGTTGACGACGTCCAGGATCCAAGCGAATGCCGCACGTCTCCTCTGGCGGACCGCGAGCGGCGCGGGAAGTTCGAGGGGACGGCCACCACCGGCACCACCCGGGATGCGACGGATCTTGATCAAGGGCGCGACCGAGTCGACGGCCAGTGTGATGTATAGCACGGGATTCAGCGGGAGATGCGGCGCCGGCGGCGCGCCGGGGAGGAGCGGGAATCGGGGGTTGAGAATCGGCGGAGGGGATTGTCGGAGGAAGTTGAGGACCATGGCCATGTTCTATCGCACCCCCGTTAGCATACGAAACACCAGGAAGATTCCTAAGAAGACCTCACTCTTTGTGCCAGGGACTTCTTTCCATCTCTCATCATAAGGTTCGTCAATTGGTCAATCATCGGGTGGTACCGCGACTTGAGATGACTGTGCGGCGGCAGAGGCAATACCGGCAGCGGGAACTTGTGTCCCACATGCGCCGCAGGCTTAGGCTTGCTGATTTCCAGCCGGTTCGTCTCCTCCAAATCCGCGACAATACCTCCGGAGGCAAGAATCTCGAGTTGGCGCTGGGGATCGCCGTTCGCATTCTGCGGGGGGATAGCGCCCTCCTCGTACAACGCATCCATCTGGGCCTCCGTCAGACCACCGGGGATTTCTGTGGGCGCCGCCGCCTTGGCGAGCTCTTCGCGCGCGGCAGCAGCCTCCTCTGGTGTCCATTCTTGCTCCGGCTTCTCGTCCGCCTGTTGCTTTCTCTCCATTAGCTTCCTGTCCCCACGTTCGTCTACAAGCTCCGTGTGCACCGTACCTGCTGTCCTGCCGCAGACTGGGCATTGACCGCCGCTGATGCCGAGGCCGAGGGGATCTCAGATGTAGCAGCGGCGTCTGGTTTTCTCAACGGCGGGATCTGGCTGGGCTCGTCCGCATATCCTCGTCTCGTGGTGGCCCAGGCGAAGGGTTCCTGCCGAGGGGCGGCGGCCAGCGGTCGGGAGCGCAGCGCGAGCGCCCTGCAAGCGGTTCGGAAGCTCGGCCGCAGAGACATGGTCGGCTCTGGTTTTCTCTTCGGGTCGGCCGCGTGCGGGGTGGGTTTGACGGTCGTCAATCGTCGGTCGTCTCGTTGAGTATATCTCCCAGCCAAGCCCGTGTTCACAAAAATTATTGAACCGCGCGGGTCTTGCCGCTCCACTCACGGCTTGCGCTGCTTACTCACGCCTGGTTGATGTCGTTGCACGGTCCACGTCTAGTTTCCTAGGGCGGCCCAGCCTAAGCTAGGTGTCGGTGAAAATGTAATTCCGTCAGCCGCCTCCCGTCCATCTAGCGGGGCTAGGTCCGCCGTTCCCGTCTTCGCAAGCTTGGGCCACCGTGCCCCGCAACCCCGTCAGCCCCCGGTCAAATCGGGGCAGGCCCGTGCCGTCACCGGCATCCTCCACCTCGGCCATTACCTAAGCCGACCTAAGCCTACGTCCCGGTCAGGCCAGGCCACCTCAGGGACCGAGACGCTACACTGCAGTCGGCATGTCTTCATCACTGATCTCATACATCACATCCGAACCGAGAGTCCAGATAGAGTGGCTTGCAGAGAGAGACACCACGCTCAGTCACGCAGACGGGAAGAATTTCCCCTCCTCCCTCCCTCGAGACAGGCACCTGCAGCTACCTACCCACCTACCTAGCTTGCTAGAGCTCTCTCTTTCTCTCAGCCAGATTCAAAATACCTCGAGAATAAAAGCGACAGCAGCCCATCCAAAACACCCTGCGCCAACCAACATCAATCCCACACCACATGTCTTGAACAACCCTTTCCCCGCTTCTCTTGTCTGATGCTCCCTTGGGTGGTGTAGCAGTGTTCTGACGGGGGGCTCATCACTTGCATGTGCTGTCTCGTCGACATCCCACATGTTGCATGTGTAAGGAGGCAGGCAAAGCACACAAGGCAGCAAGCCGTCAAAAGCCAATCCCATTCAAGCAAATCAATCCTCAAGCCGCATACCCAAAAAGTGAACCCACGCCTGCGCGCCGCTGCAAGCCCACCTCGAAGTCCTTGGCCCTCGCCTGCCTCACCGGTGGCCCCCAACTGTCAACCAAGAAGGCAGACCATCCAGATTTTCCCCTCTCCCCGATCTCGCCAATATGACGCCCATCACTAATTCGACCTATCTCAATCGCGAATCCCGCCCGTAATGTCGCACCGCGCAAAGACAAGCCGAAGGANGAACCCCCCACCCCCCCCCCCCCCCTCATGCACAACAACCTTTACCCCGTCGTTCCGCGTTCCCCCTCTCCTCACATCAACCAACCCCTCGCTGCATCTTGACCAAATAGGTAGGGGGCTTGCTGCCCATCCGTCGATGAGAGAGCGTGATCAACGACTGCTGCTGCCACGGCTGCAGCAGGATGTGTGCAGACCTTCATGCAGGTGATGGGCAGCAGTAATTCAGCCGCCATCACATTTTTCTTACCTGCCTATCAACTTTGCTTTTTGGCCATGGGGTTTTTATGATTTTCTGATTTTCTGCTCATGTTGCAACGTTTCCCTGTCTCCAAAGGGGGGGAAAGAGCTAACAATACTACTTCTTTTGACCAACGAGATTTGCTCCCTTTTTTTTTTTTCTCTTAAACCCGACGAAGATCCCCGGATTGACATTCCCATGCCGGCCCTGCGCTAGCCAAGCTAAAAAGCAGCTGATTCAACTCAACACACTATGTGCTCTCAAACCCACACGGCTCGCTGGGCTGGCTGGACTGGATTTTAGGACTTTGGCACTTTGGGTACCTGCTGACAGCACTGCAACCTGGGCGGACGGGTTGGGCTGGGCGGAGGGGTGTGGGATCTACCGCCGTCCCGTTGTTAGCAGACTCCCTAGCTCTGTCCCTCCCTCCTGCCAGGGGGGTTTTTCATTTACTCACTCACTCAGTCTCTCTCTCTCTCTCTCTCTCTCTCGCTCAATGCGCCGAACGCCGCTTCCACCTCCTGCATTGGTGATAGTAGCACCAGAAGATGTCATCGTGGGGGGAAAGGGTCAGCGGTGGTCTGCGCTCAAGCAGAGACGCCTCTCGCCCTGGCCATGCCAATCGACACGCCCCCTTCAGTTGCCCTTTTTAATCCCCTAAAGTTCTCCAGCCGCGTCGGGCAAGCATACCGTCATCCCACAAGCCACCTCACCAGTTCGATTTTGCATGAGGCCCCCTTACGAGAAAATAAAACGAAAGCTTCCATGATTTGTTCCGTGATAACGGCGGGAAATCCGAGGTTCTATGCAGATGCAGGTTGCAGTGGGAAGAAGTGGATACCGAGCACTCTCAAGCAGTAGAAGTGCGAGAATGACAAAAAGAAACAAACCAAAAAAAGGACTGGATTCCCCCTTGTTGGTTCTCACGAGACATTGCAATTGAGGGAAAAAGGCATGGCTGCCACCTCGATCGACATGAATCTTTTTTAGCTTTCAATTCCCACTATCATCCCCCTTGTCCCCCATAGTTGCTTTTCTCCAATAACGCCGCTCCCAAGGCAAGGAAAAAACAAAATTTTCCAAATTGCAACACACAAATTACTAGCAAGGGCAGCAAGCGCCTCATAGCACCCCTCCTCGCTCCTGCTCTCCTGTCCCAAAAAAAGTCGCCCTAGTGACCGTCGACTGTCTGCCGGTCCTGTTTCGCCAAGGTTCTGTCTCGTGTCGGAGTTTCTTCTCCAAAGTCCCTGTTCCAAAGAAATAAGATAAAGAGGTGGGGGGCGGGCGAGAAAAGAAAAGAAAATGGAAGGAAGCTTGAGACTCAATGACGATGCAGAGGGGAGAAACCGGCCCCCCTGCTCGTGTTGGTCTTCTCAATACTGCGATTCTGCGCCGGTCTTTTCTTTCCCAGCCAGCGCAACACCTGGTGATGTTTCCGTGTCGGGGGCCCCAATTGAGTGTTGGTAGAAATGTAAGTTGTACGCCGATATCCATGGTGTTCCCTTTCTGCCGTGTGGCAATGGCCGGTGTCTCCCAATCCTAACTCCGGGTGTATTCGTACAAGTGAACAGCAGAATAATGGATCGGGGGAAGCAAGAAAACAAATGTGTCGGAGAAAAAAGTCAAGATGTGAGTGTGTCGTGTGTTGTGCGCCGCTCGAGGGTGGGATGCTCGCTCGTTATGGTGTCGTTTCGCTGCCCAGAAGGTTCTCGGTATTGTTCCCGCACGCCTTTTTCTTCCCTCATCCTGTGGTGCCGATTGCTCATCAGCTTCCTCTGCTGTTGGCTGGCGAGCTGGGGTTCGATCCAGTGAGGTAGTTGAGTGCCATTTCGGCGGCATCTTCTTTCGCATTGTTGAGGTTCTTGCCGTCGTACCAAAATCGTGCGGAGAGGGTGCGTCCGTGGACGGTGACTCGGCTGGACCAGGCGGTACGGCCGCCTGTGACGAGGGGGGACGAACCGTTAGTTACACCGACGGACGACAAGTGCGTGTGCGCTTTTTCTCTCGGGGGACAGAGCTTACCACGTCGATCAGAAACGATCTGGAATACCGGTGGGAGAATGTTTGCCTCGCGGCAGGCGTCTGCGAGTCCCTGGCTTTAGCTTCATGATGCTTTTCTTTGGTGGGATGTGGTGGCGCCCTACCTTCCAGACGCTCCTGCCATGTTCCCGCTTGACTGTTGTACGAGGAGGCAGACATGGTGGCGGCGGACGAGTAAGAAGCGTTGGAGTACATGTAGTGTAATGTTGAAGTGACAATGGGAAAGCTCTCAAGTCCCTAAGGGTTGTTTGTCGAAGAGGAGGTGGTGGTGGTGGGTGCTTTGATGTGATGTGTGTGTTTGAGTCGGTTGGAATCGTAGTTATCTCGAGGAAATCTAAAGCGAAACTCGGTCGATCTTATACTCGGTTCCAGCTAGGCCGTGATACAGATGGGGATATTCCCATTGGGGTGGAAAGATTATGATGTGGCAGAACAAGATTAGCTAGATGCCGTCTGGAGAGGCAAGGAATTGTTTGCACAACAAATAGCAGACGACGGGGAGGACGGGTAAGGGATCAGTTGGGCTGGTACCCTACGGCATGCTGCATCTTGGGATGGGTAGAGGTGGGAGAAGAAAAGGAAAAGGAAGAGGAAACGGGCATGATCCAAAGAAGTAACGACACAACATCACGTCCCAGTGCCGTTTGGGTTTGGTACGGCAGGACCGCGTCCTTTCCTGTGTCGTTTCTTTTTCTCCATGCCCTAGTACTTGTCTCTGATGAGCAGCAGCAGCAGCAGCTGCGGCGGCGGCGGCGAGGAAGAGGAGGGGTGTGCCACTTGGGTGTGAGTGCTTCTGCTTCGTCTGATGCCAGACCACGGGCCAGACGCGGACGTGGGGAGTGTGGTACCGTACTGGGCCGGCAGAACGTCGTGATAAACTTGGATCCTTAGCGTCATCTTTTTTTTTCTCGTTATTTTTTGGTCCCTTTTTTTTTGGTCTGGTTTCCTTCGATTTTCCCTCCCCCTTCCTTTCTCACTTTTCTTTTTTCACACCCCTCGGAGACATACCCTGACTCCCTAACGCCCCCGCGTGGTTTAGCGGTACATGGGTGCCGACATCCATGAGTTGATGAACACGCAGCTGGGAAACATGGGCTTGGGGGGACTTGAGACAAGATGGAATAGCTCCATGTCGTAGGTAAGGTGAATGCCTCTGGAGGGAGATGGGCAATGGCCGCAGCTCTGAGCCAGCAGCTGATTGGGAATTGGCTTTGCCAGGCTCCCTTACCCGGCGCCCGGGGGGGCCCAAGGCCAAACAGAGCTGGCGTGGAGTGCCGACCCGTCGGGGTGGGAGAGGGAAATGATTGGGGAGCTTCAAGCCGCAAAGACAAGGGCCCGTACATGGAAAGACTGGGGAGGGGCGTGGGCGTGGGCGGACCGGACAGGCGAATGGAGGGCGACGAAGACAACAAGGGAAGGCAAAGGGCAAACGGTGGGCAAAGGCAGGGTGCGAGCTGACCAGGGGCAAGACTGGAATCTCGAGCCGAGAAAGGGAGAGAGACAGACAGAGTGAAGGTTACGGATGGCGGATGCATACAGCCTGAGCCTGGATGTACGGGCATGGAGCATCTGTATGTACGAATAGGTATTCGTACCATATATCCGTAAGGATGTGAAGTGAGTTAGCAGTTATCTGTGTACCGAGATACAGATACCGTGCCCAGGCGTGCTACATGGTACCCCGACTTCGTGGAGATGAATGCTAGCCAGCAATGGAATAGGCAGAGACAGAGGCAGATGCAAAGGCAGATGCAGGCAGGGCGAGCATGGGAGCAGCCGGCGAATGAAAAAGCGAGTGGGTGCACAAGGAAAGGGAGTATGGATAAGGAAAGCAACGAGGCTGGCAGTCTGGAAGGGCTGGCTGGGTGTAATGGGCTGCGATGGCACCACGGCCACGCATCCAACGCTTCGACCAAACCCATGCTATTCGAAGCCAGGGCTGGCATGTCATGGCACTTGGCCCGGTACATACGTAAGGTAAGGAAGATCAGGTACGGGGAATCGGGATGCAAGTGGTAAGTTAGCTGAGATGAGGTAAGGCAAGACAGGGTCTCGACAACCACAACAAGAATAGCATTGACATCAGACAACGCACCAGCTACAATTGGGCAATCGAGCTAACAGGAGGGCGGCGGCGGACAATTCTGGGCACGGGACTCTGAGAGAGGAACAAGGAGCACTGGGCACTCACGCACGCACCGGGGCAGCAGAATCCATCCACAGCATAGCTTTGAGCTCTAGCAATGTAGCAAGCAACTGTGTGTACTTGACGAGGCGCGCAGCAAGCAAGTGGTACGCGGGAATGGGTTTCTGTCTGGGGGTTTGGGCTAATAACGCCGGGACCCCTCAGCGGCGGCATCAACTCCGCCAGCCGGTGAAGCGAAACGGGCCGGGGTGGTAGTGCTAAGCAGGCGGTGGTTGGGTAGGGTGATGGTGTCGCCTCCATAATCTGGCAGTTGAAGGAAACTCGGTCAAGAAGATTTGGGCCTCATCGAGACCATCCTCACGAAGATGGACTGACGTTGTTAAAGTATGTCACTCTTGGGCAGGGGAGAAGGCGAGAAAAGGCCGTCGAGCCACGTCGATTCGACGCGATGCGGCAGGAAAGGGCGGGGGGCAGAAGGCCACAGGCAAGTGATGCATGTACCACGATACTGAAGTGGTTTAGAGCGTGAGGGGAGAGGGGGGAGCGAAAGGGGTGGGATCGGGCAGCACTCGCTCCTCATCGTCATTTGGGGTGGGGTGAGGCAGAAGATCAGGGCAGGGCAAGGCAAAGCAGGGCAAGGCCAGGCCGGGCAAGGCGTGGGACTGTACCTGACGGTATCAAGGTATGGAAGAGCATACATGCCATACGCGGTGCGGTGCAGATATGGCCAGACCACAGATGATGCCGATGCTGACGCTGACGCTGCTGCTGCGAGTGATTGTGCTGTTCGCGAATGCTGATTGATGCAGGTGGATAAGGCGGCGAATTGTGAAAATTGTCGCAACATCTATCTCGGTGGCTCGGTAGTTGTCGAGACCAACAGGCGAAGTAGTGTAAGGCATGTAGTTGCCAGCGGTAGTTGTGCTTGAATTGTGCTACTATTAGTTGGTGCTCGCTGACTGCTCAACTGCAAGTCGACCCATCATCCATGTTCCGGATGAACGACAGCTGCTTTGTCGACAGCAAGGACAGGCAAAGTACCTCTCGTAAGGGATCCCGCAAGGCAAGGTACGTGCGGCTGTTTGGCTGGGTCTCATATGAACAGCTAAGCTCACTGGTTCGGGCTTAGAGCAGATCAGGGACTTGGGGGACTTGACTTGGGCTGAGGGCTGCTGTCGTGAGTTGCCGGTTCGTTGTCGCCGCAGTGCAGCCGTAGGACGGACGGGATCGGCCAGACTGACAGGCGGCGGGCGGGCTTGAGCGAACGCAGCTCTGGTGCAGCTAACGTGCGGAAATGCAGAGCTATGGACAGCCTACAGCTTGCTGCTCACACAGGTAGCTGCGGCTGCGCAGTTCCCCCACCACCTACGAATCCTGCGTAAGGTCTCCATATCTGTACCGTACCTGTGTACGAATACAGTCTCGGCCGCATGCTGGTGGATGTGTGGCCCGTCCAGCTTGCAGCGGCCGTCAAAGTTGGCCCGTAGTGTACCTTACTGCATGCCTAGGCATGTAGCAAAGTGGCATTGGCGGCCTTGGTGGCCTCTGGTGGTCCGTTGGTGGCATCGGGGATGAAAAGAGCTCCAGCCGGAGGGTCCCTCTGCTCTTAGCTTCCTGTGCTAAGGAACCGTCATGCTTCCCCGAAACGAAGGGAACAGGAAAAGGGGGGTGATGGAACCGGGAAGCCGGGGCTGGTCGGCGTTGAAAAGAGCAGTGTCTGTACTGCGTAAGGTATGTATGTATGTACGGGTACGGATACGCAGTACTGGCAGCTGGAAAGTGGACCTGCAAAAGCTGCCCTTGTCCTGGCACCAGGCGGCGGGACTACGGATACGGCTTGTGGTGTTTTCGCTCGGCTTTGCCATCACCGTCCTTCGTCTCTCCCCCACTATCGGCAGGCTAACGTCGTGAAAGTTCAACTTGCAATACGGGAAGTCCGTCCACAACGAAGCGAAGCTTTGGCTTCTTCGTTGTTAGTGTGTTGATCGTTCCCTCTGGGCTGGCTGTGCTCTGCTCCTCTGCTCCTCCTTCGTGGAGTCCCATCATCTTCACCGTCTTTTCGAGTGCGTCTGTTAGAGTTTCCTGTCGGCGGGAAACGTGGGGAGAGAATGTGACTCCGCGGCGAGGGCGGAAGCAAGTGTTCGGGCCCCGGGAATGAGACTTTTCGTTATCGGTATCAGCGTCGATGCCATATGCAATGCGCAATGTACAGTGGCAACGTGACCAACGATGCGGTGAGAGACAGAGACGGGGTGTTGGAGCACAATTCCAAGCCCGGGGCACCAGAGTCATTGACGTGATGAGGTTATCATCAACCAGGGGGGCATGGAGCACCTGCTGCTCTGGGCGGCCGTCAACGGCGAACGATGGAGGGAGTATGGAGGCATCAAGCATGAAGCATGGGGGNGGGGGGGGGGCAAGCCGGGCAATGGCAGGCGACTGACTGACTGTACGGATGCTGCAACAGCCCAAGACTGTGTCAGCCAATGTGTGCAGCGCGGTGCACCGTGTTCGGGTTGCAACGATAGTGCCTTCCCGTCGTCAACTTTGCATGTCGGGAGGGTCTGCAGTGCCTGGGAAGGGAATGGAAGGGAAGGGAAAAGAAAGAAAAGACGGACCCGGTAGCCATGATCGCCGCCTTGTTCCTTCCCACGCTTCAGGAGGTGTTCAGGTGGCAGCCATGCTATGCCAGGGCGTTAGACAGGGGCCAAGGGTGTTGGGTTCCATCCTGTCTTGAGCTGGCTGTCCTGTCCTGTCTCTGCCTTGCCTCAGGGCGACGTGACCATCCTTCCCTTGCCCCGGAGCTCAAGGCTCAAGGCTCAGGCTCAAGCTCAAGCAACGCAACCTAAGCTTACGCCCAGGTGGCAGGGCGAGGTTTCTGACCCTGTCCCGGTCGCTGAACTTAAAAAATCTCTTGCTCGTTCCTGATCTTCGTCACCGCTCTGTACTCAAATGCGACCTCACGTCCTCTTCTCCTGCGCCTGTCGCAGGGTCTCTGCCGCCCTCGCGCTAC